GAGAGAGACAATCGACTGAGAGGACGGACAGAGACAATCGACTGAGAGGACAGACAGAGACAATCGACTGAGAGGACAGAGAGAGACAATCGACTGAGAGGATGGAGAGAGAGACGATCGACTGAGAGGACAGAGACAATCGACTGAGAGGACAGAGAGAGACAATCGACTGAGAGGACGGACAGAGACAATCGACTGAGAGGACAGACAGAGACAATCGACTGAGAGGACAGAGAGAGACAATCGACTGAGAGGATGGAGAGAGAGACGATCGACTGAGAGGACAGAGACAATCGACTGAGAGGACGGACAGAGAGACAATCGACTGAGAGGACGGACAGAGACAATCGACTGAGAGGACGGACAGAGAGACAATTGACTGAGAGGACAGAGAGAGACAATCGACTGAGAGGACAGACAGAGACAATCGACTGAGAGGACGGACAGAGACAATCGACTGAGAGGACGGACAGAGACAATCGACTGAGAGGACGGAGAGAGAGACGCTCAACTGAGAGGACAGAGAGAGAGACAATCGACTGAGAGGACGGACAGAGAGACAATCAACTGAGAGGACAGAGAGAGAGACAATCGACTGAGAGGACAGAGACAATCGACTGAGAGGACAATCGACTGAGAGGACGGACAGAGACAATCGACTGAGAGGACGGACAGAGACAATCGACTGAGAGGACAATAGACTGAGAGGACGGATAGAGACAATCGACTGAGAGGACGGACAGAGACAATCGACTGAGAGGACAGAGCGAGAGACAATCGACTGAGAGGACGGATAGAGACAATCGACTGAGAGGACAGAGAGAGAGACAATCGACTGAGAGGACGGATAGAGACAATCGACTGAGAGGACAGAGAGACAATCGACTGAGAGGACGGACAGAGACAATCGACTGAGAGGACAGAGAGAGAGACAATCGACTGAGAGGACGGACAGAGACAATCGACTGAGAGGACAGAGAGAGAGACAATCGACTGAGAGGACGGATAGAGACAATCGACTGAGAGGACAGAGAGACAATCGACTGAGAGGACGGATAGAGACAATCGACTGAGAGGACAGAGAGAGACAATCGACTGAGAGGACAGAGAGACAATCGACTGAGAGGACGGACAGAGACAATCGACTGAGAGGACGGACAGAGACAATCGCCTGAGAGGACGGACAGAGACAATCGACTGAGAGGACAGAGAGACAATCGACTGAGAGGACGGACAGAGACAATCGACTGAGAGGAGAGAGAGAGACAATAGACTGAGAGGACAGAGAGAGACAATCGACTGAGAGGACAGACAGAGACAATCGACTGAGAGGACAGAGAGAGAGACAATAGACTGAGAGGACAGAGAGAGAGACAATCGACTGAGAGGACAGAGAGAGACAATCGACTGAGAGGACAGACAGAGACAATCGACTGAGAGGACGGACAGAGACAATCGACTGAGAGGACAGAGAGAGAGACAATAGACTGAGAGGACAGAGAGAGAGACAATCGACTGAGAGGAAAGAGAGAGACAATCGACTGAGAGGACAGACAGAGACCATCGACTGAGAGGACGGACAGATTGTTGGACAGATGGGTCGTGTAAAAACCGGATCACCTGACTGTGTTGAAGATATCTTCATCTTGTAGTAGCCTCCTCATCATCACCCTGAGATCTCCCAGGTAAAGCCCCACCCCTCCCTCTGCAGGGAGCTTTGTACCGCCCCCTGGCTCTTCATCCTCCTCACCTTGCCCCCCCATTTTGGAGCAGGGGCACAACCCACCTAACACAGCGTAGGCCAATAGGAAAGCTGAGAGAGAGACAGACCACACCCACTTGAATCACATGATCACACAAACCCTGTGTGTATTGTGTGTGTGTGCGCGTCTGTGTGTTTTTGTCAACCTGTAGTGAAGAGAACAACTCCACACGCACACACAAGCACACAGGTTTTCCGGTTTCCATAGCGATGTCCAAGCATCAATGCTTCGATGTCACTGCTGGGCTCCGCCTCCATTTCCTCCTCGGCCTCTGGTGTCACAAACCTCAGCTCCACCCTCTGCGCTCCTGCCGCCTCCTCATCATCGGCCACGCCCACTGAGCGCTGGAGTGACACAGAGGTTGACTGGAGAGAGAGAGAGAGAGAGAGAGAAACAGAGAGAGAGGTGTAACCATGGCAATAAAGGGGGAAGTCTGAATGCTGTTCACCTATCACACCTGTCTCAGACGAGTCCTGATGGTATCCATGACGACCTGCAGAGGAGACAGACAGTTAGAGAAATTAAACCAGGACTGAGCCATCATAGACTGTACATAAGATGTGGGCGGAGCCACTACACTATTCTCAAGCTCCACCCTCTTATCCCAAAAACTAAAAGTTAAAGCGCTCCTCAGCTTCAGACATCGTCCCGTCACTCCTCAAATTTCTGCATTCAAATCAAAACTGTGACGAGCTATAGACGCCAAACACAAACTGTGTTCTGCTGCTGTCTTCTGTGGTCTACCCAGAGCGAAACACCTTCATACACAAACAGAGATGCTCACTGGAACACTGGCGCCCTCGTGTGGACAAAATGGTATATCACACCTGAGGGCCAGGTGAGGTTAAACTGCACAGATTTAGAATGACAGTAGATAAGTAAATGATGAGTAGATAGGCGGCCATACTAGGATGTACTGCAGATAACAGTTGAAAGACTACATTCAGAAAATGTAATGACAGATCATCAACGTAGAATTTAAATCATGATCCACAATGTGAATCACCCAAGAAGACAATAAATAAAACCATGACGTTTTCCTTCTAGTGGCTATTATCAAGGATGAACAGCTTGATGGCAGAGTGTATGAAACATTCAGAAAGCGGCGGCCTGAAGGCATTACCAACTCATTTGAGTCAGAAAGCAGCGACACTCCTACCAAGCTGCTGGAAAGTTCAAACTTCTAATGTCACTATTAGTAGTGTTACTATCCAACGCTGTCTCCTCGTTAGGAGGTCTGCACCTTAGAAGAACATCTGAGGATACAGAGAACAAAACAAAATGATCCTTTACTCACCTTTTCATCAAATTAAAAGTAACAATGCATCATTAGTGAGGATGTGATGTTCACATACAGTCACAGATTAATGAACCTTCACAGCCCGATCACACACTGACATCAGTGACGTCTCTGATAAACACAACCCTCTGAGCTCACTGTGATTGGTTCCTCACAGGGGTCAGAGGTCAGTGTTTGTTTGAGCTGCTTAACTTTATTAACAGAGAGTAAATACCCCCTCCCCCCCCCCACACACACACACACACACACACACCAGGGTCATGACCCTCACAACTTCTGTTCCTCAGATGTTCTGTCTGAAATATGTCAGAACATCAGAGTGAAACAACAACAACAACAACAACAATGAATAATGTACATGGATAGCTATGTCAGTAATAATGTTAAAAGTAGGCTATGTGTAGAATTAGCAGTAACAGCTAAGTATGATAATAGACCGATCAGTCTAATATTAATGTACATAATGTAGAATTAATATACAGCAACTGTAATGATGAAACGACTGATTATTTTAGAGGTTGAAGTTGAGCATCTCTTATATTCATTTGAAAATGTATAATAATGATAGTACAGTGTTTCCCCTAGTTTTAAAGTATGGGGGGGACACGCCGACACAAACACTTGAAGGAATCTTGGTGTTCATGGGTTACTTTTCCTTTTCTACATTGTAATTTATTATATTCATCTTTTAACTAAAAAAATACAAACAAACAGAGACTTAAAGAAAAACAAGTGTGAGGAACTCGTGGGAAAACCAGTGTTTAATCTCTTAAACTGGATACATCAAGTGAAGAGTTTGAGAAAATAAGGAGATATGATTCGTCCACTTATTGCTTCCATAAGAGAAACAATCTAACGGGTCATTACTAGTATACTACCTGATTATTAACACCTGAAGAAAACGTCCACACATGGTTTCTGAAGGTTTACTGTGGTTGGAAAAGTTTCTCTCAGTACAAATATATAAATGTAACAATACACATGAGCTTTAAACCCTCCAATCCTGATTATATCTGATAGAACAGCAGAATGATTGATCCTGTAAAATATTGATTGATCAAGTAAAGCATCACACTAGAATGAAGCACAGTCACATCCAGAGACCAGACTAAACCTGACCCAGGAACAGTCCAGGATCAGGGTTCACACCAGCCGCAGCATCAGACAATCGTGTTTAGTCGGTACGGCAGGTGGAAAGCACGAGGAAGCTGCTTGTTCCTCCATCTGATGCTGGACCACCAGGACCCGGATCAGTTACTGGGCACCAGAATCCTTCCTGCATTAAAGAGAAGAAAAGACGAGATCAACGACTGATCCAGAAACACCGTCTGAACTGGTTTAGACTGGTCTGAACTGGTTTAGACTGGTCTGAACTGGTCTGAACTGGTTTAGACTGGTCTGAACTGGTTTAGACTGGTTTAGACTGGTCTGAACTGGTTTAGACTGATCTGAACTGGTTTAGACTGGTCTGAACTGGTTTAGACTGGTTTAGACTGGTCTGAACTGGTTTAGACTGATCTGAACTGGTTTAGACTGGTCTGAACTGGTCTGAACTGGTCTGAACTGGTCTGAACTGGTCTGAACTGGTTTAGACTGGTCTGAACTGATCTGAACTGGTTTAGACTGGTCTGAACTGGTTTAGACTGATCTGAACTGGTTTAGACTGATCTGAACTGAATTAGACTGGTCTGAACTGGTCTGAACTGGTTTAGACTGGTCTGAACTGATCTGAACTGGTTTAGACTGGTCTGAACTGGTTTAGACTGATCTGAACTGGTTTAGACTGGTCTGAACTGATCTGAACTGGTTTAGACTGGTCTGAACTGGTTTAGACTGGTCTGAACTGGTTTAGACTGGTCTGAACTGATCTGAACTGGTTTAGACTGATCTGAACTGGTTTAGACTGGTCTGAACTGGTCTGAACTGGTTTAGACTGGTTTAGACTGGTCTGAACTGGTCTGAACTGGTTTAGACTGATCTGAACTGGTCTGAACTGATCTGAACTGGTCTGACCTGGTCTGAACTGGTTTAGACTTGTCTGAACTGGTCTGAACTGGTCTGAACTGGTCTGACTGGGTGCACCACGGCTGTCATGATACCAGAATTATAAACTGTGATATGATGTTTGTACATGTTTGTTACCACGGCAACCCAAATAGAAGTCCTAGACAACCAGTATTTACTCATTTATTGTTTTTAATGACCGTAGAATCCGGTTTATAAGACACAGCCGTAGAGCTGAGTCAGCGTTTTCTCACTCTCTTTCTTTCCTTTCCACCTTCACCTCTCCCACACAAGTGTTCCTGTAACGTTCAGAGACCACTCCACGACCACATGGAGGTAAGCTGGTCCACTGCTGTCCTTTTTTCACCTGAGCCGACACACGGTGAGCACGCCACCTCAGATTGTAACATTTAAAACACGTGGGAGTCAAAAGAATCAAACGCTTTGACAACCACAGAAAGTGCTGGTCTGAACTGGTCTGAACTGGTTTAGACTGGTCTGAACTAGTCTGAACTGGTCTGAACTGGTTTAGACCGGTCTGCCGGTCTGAACTGGTCTGAACTGGTCTGTAATGGTTCAGACTGGTCTGAACTGGTTTAGACTGGTCTGAACTGGTCTGTAATGGTTCAGACTGGTCTGAACTGGTTTAGACTGGTCTGAACTGGTCTGAACTGGTCTGAACTGGTCTACCTCGGGTCTTGCTCTTGTAGTAGATGAATCCAGCCAGAGATAAGATCAGACCCAGGATCAGTCCAGACGCTCCGATGGCGATCTTGTTTCTCTCCGACTCTGGCATGGACGGGTCTGAGGAAGACAGACAGACAGGTGAGCAGACAGACAGGTGAGCAGACAGACAGACAGACAGGTGAGCAGACAGACTGGTGAGCAGACAGACAGACAGACAGGTGAAAAGGTGAACAGACAGACAGGTGAAAAGGTGAACAGACAGACAGGTGAGCAGACAGACAGGTGAGCAGACAGACAGACAGACAGGTGAGCAGACAGACTGGTGAGCAGACAGACAGACAGACAGGTGAAAAGGTGAACAGACACACAGGTGAAAAGGTGAGCAGACAGACAGGTTAGCAGACAGACATGTGAGCAGACAGACAGGTGAGCAGACAGACAGGTGAGCAGACAGACAGGTGAGCAGGCAGACAGGTGAAAAGGTAAGCAGACAGACAGGTGAAACAGTGAGCAGACAGACAGGTGAGCAGACAGACAGGTGAAAAGGTGAGCAGACAGACAGGTGAAAGGTGAGCAGGCAGACAGGTGAAACGGTGAGCAGACAGACAGGTGAACAGACAGGTGAAAAGGTGAGCAGACAGACAGGTGAGCAGACAGACAGGTTAGCAGACAGACAGGTGAGCAGGCAGACAGGTCAGCAGACAGACAGGTGAACAGACAGGTGAAAAGGTGAGCAGACAGACAGGTTAGCAGACAGACAGGTGAGCAGACAGACAGGTGAAAAGGTGAGCAGACAGACAGGTATTTACCCCAGACATTAACCAGAGGTTTATCCAGGCTGACGTGATCCACCACACAGGAGATCTTCTCTCCAGACCTGAAAACACCAGAAACAGAGGATCAGTCACACTCAACACCTGACTGGACCTGACCTGGACCTGGACCTGGACCTAAACCTGGACCTGGACCTAAACCTGGACTAGACTGGCTGGACCTGGACTGGACCTGCTGGACTGGACCTGGACCTGACCTGACCTGGACCTTGACCTGACCTGACTGACCTGGACTGGACCTGACCTGGACCTGATCTGGACCTAAACCTGTACCTGTAGCTGACCCACCTGGGCGTGTACTCCAGGTGTGAGTGGATCTGGTAGTACCAGTCTCCGTCAGCCAGCTATCAGTGGAAGTGACATAGTGTGACTTCCTTTCCTCTCTGTGCCAGCTCACTTTGATCATTTGGGTAGAAGTCGTAGACGCGCACACCAACATGCGGGGTGTCCACAGTAGGGGGCGTCTCAGAGTGCAGCTTGCGTACGGCTTGGCTGCAGCACACACAGTTTGATTATTGAATTTATTGTTTCAGTAGACGGACAGAGTATCAGTGCTCTTTTTCTGCTTCAGTGTGAACATCATCAAGTACGAAGAGTTTGAATCAGTGAACACAGTTGATGAGTTATATTCATTTAGTTTCACTGAAGCTTTGAATCCTCTCAGATGACAGAAATAGAGATGTTAATGATTACGTTTATCGATTAATCGCCGTTAAGAATTGAACCGATTAAAAATGTATCAACTGACAATTTGACATGTAATACATTTTGTACCAAAAGAGGGCGCCTGTCACTTTGTGCAACTCAGAAAACTAAAGTAAGAAGTGTTACTGAGGAGAGTGAGGCTAAAATGAAGAGGTCAGCAGAGAGACAGAGTTCTGTGTTTTCTGCAGCTGGACTTGTTGAGAATAGACTGAACACTCGACTGAGCCCTGATCACGTAGATGTGCATCTTTCTAAATAAAAACACTGAGCGTACATATATGATGGTGAGTAGAGTATTTTATGTGCTCACAACAACTCACTCCTGAACGTGTAGAATGTTCATCTGCAGACAAAGCAGAAGAGTTAAGTGTACTGTGAAGAGGCTCAGATGGTTTGATTTCACTTTCATTCAGAACTTTCTGTTGATTTTAAAAAGGATTTCATTCAGTCAGCCTTGTTAGAAACGCTGGTGTAGCGCCCGACTGGCGTTGATCTGTTAGCAGATTAAATAAGGAAAGTCACACGTTTAAAGAGGAGAGCCTCGTTGTTTTATTAGTTCAAACTGTTTTTATGAATGAATGTTTCAAGTAACTATCGTGCTGCTATAACGGTTTCAATTAAACATAAACTGAGAACAAGACGTGAGCTCATTAATTATTAATGATTAATCAATAATTGATTGTTAATGTGTTCAACTATTGCTTTAGAAAAATGACTTTAAGTACATCTGAATGTTGTTAACTGCAGTAACAGAGTTTGACCAGCAGGCTGTGACACAGAGCTGTGTGTGAGGACTTTAAACAGATCAAGAGTTTCACTTTGAGATTTCTGATATAAATGATCATCAGTGTGAGACGACTTTAAAGTATTTTTATTGAACATTAATGAAACAGGAAATGATAAAAGATGAACATGAAATCTAAGAAAATGTAATCAGTCAGAGTCCATTTGTT